TAATGTCCAATTTGTTCCATAATTGGAAAGCTGGTTTTAAACAAAATTTTTTACTATTAACTTATGTATTTATGAGTGGTACAATTTAGAGTGACTCAAACAAATGACCACGTGCTGATTTTTTAATATTTGTAATGTTTTTCGATTTATGATATTTTTTTATAAAAATGGCGTCCAAACTATAACCAAACCCATACAAATCCCAGTTTTAGACATTATACAAAATTTAGGAAAATTTTAAAAATTTTCCTCAAAATTTCAACTTTTTAATCTGAATCTTTGGAACATTTTTGGGTATGCAGGAGAGCGTTAGCAATAAAATTTCAAAAAATCAAAGTCAGTTTTTGTCAATTGCACACTTTTGTAATGCTTAAAACTGTGATTTATATAATTTTGGTTTATTTTTTTATTTTATTTTTATATTACCTTATTGTTCATTGTACCTTATTTTAATTTAGTTTATAAATATTTTGGTAAATTTAATTTAGATTTTTATTTCGTTTTTATTTTTAACTTGCTTTATTTTTTGCATTATTTACTCATTTATATTTTTAAACTTTATTTTGTTGTATTTTATGTATTTTAATTCATTTTATTTTATTGAATCTTACGTTTTTAGTTTCTTTTTTTTTAAATTATCTTATTTTAGTTTTTTTTTTAATTTTGTTTTATCTTATTTATGTTTTAATTTTATTTTATTTTTTTATTAGTTATTGACTTTTATTTGCTTAGTTTAACATAATTTTATTTTATTTTATTTTATATTATTTTGTTTTAATTAATTTCATTTTATTTTGTTTTATTTTATTTTTTTTATTTTATTTTATATTATTTTATTTTATCTTTCCGTATTTTATTTTATTTCATTTTATTTTATTTTATTTTATTCTATTTTTCATTTTTATTTTAATTTTATTTAGTTTTTTACTTTATTTTTATTTGGTTTATTTTATTTTTGTCAATGTTATTGTGGCTTATTAACATTTTATTTTTAATATTTTTATTGAGTTTGTACTACGATTGTTTATTAGGGAAAATTGAAAAAGCAACAAAGTCTAAGCGGTAGAAGTTATAGCTGCTATTTCGGAGATCTCCACATCTTAAATTTTTTTGAATTTGATTTTATTTGTATTTATTTTATATTTTTGTTTAATGTTTTTTTTTTTATTTGTTGCTTGGTTATACTTTCTTTTCAATTTTTAAATTTACTTTAATCTAATTTTATTTCTTGATTTTTAAGTTTCACTTAATTTTTAGATTTTATTTTACTTTATTTTATTTCATTTTATTTTATTGAAGTTTTAGTTTAATAATTTTTTAGTTGTATGTGGCAACCCCTGATTCATTAAGCAACTGTAAATTAAAATGTGCATTTTCATTGCAGTTGAAGTTATTATCTAAAATAGACGAAATCAAAATGCAGCAGTCAGAATATTTTTATATTTTTGTAATTTCCATTTTGTGTTCCGCTAAATTAATTAGTGTAAGTACATATTAAACATTTTGCTATATAAATATGCATATTTTTTAATTTTTAAAACAATATTTAATTTTTCTTTGCATATTTCTTCAGTCCCGTCCAGTACCGAATGAGGCTGCAATAGCGGTTCACGTACATTTGCCGTACGACATGCAGAGAGCGCA